ATTAATAGGCTAAAATTGCTATGTATAGGGTTTTCCTTGTGTACTCAGATCCAATTTGCATTAAAAAACATAAAGTGAGGGACAAAAGGGGGAGACTATTATAAAAAGACCTTAAGCTGGTTTTTGTGAAAGTTATTGCCTGAACACCAYGGATGACTTCAATATTTAAATATTAACACTTTTTCCAGTGACTAAATGGTTGATGACTGAAATATCACCATAGGAGAAGAACTATGCAAGTGATAAGTGTTATATTAAAGTTTGCATGGTTCAACTTGACAGGTAAACAAAACTTTGTTACTCCCTGCCCAATCACAAACACACACAAAGAAGATATCCTTATTTTTGTCTAGTCCTCCCCTTACTTCTGTCTCCCATCTCCTCACCATGCACATACACAAAGGAAAAAGAAATGGCCCAACTTGCCACATAACACACAGAAGACGCCACTTGTTTTTACCTATAACTTCCACCCATAAACAACTCAATGATCTACATTTTGAAATTATTCCAGCCCATCATATATTACATGTCAAAGAGCTGCATTCTACTTTTTGACACTCTATCATCATAGCAATCTGGAAGTAAAATACATAAACTTAAGCTGTCAAAAATTAGGTAAGAAAATTTTTAATCACACTCCCCAACATTTTTTCCCCTTGGTTTAAACATATCATCTGCCTTCCTATACAGAGGATTAAAATTTTATAGTTATTTCAAAAATTTTGCTATTGATCAGGACACYACTGTAAAAAAATTTTAGATGGCAGATTTATATAACAAAACATTATACAGGTGAAAAAATGAGAATTATGTAGACTACACATACAAATGAAGCACACACATAAAACTGAGCTAGTGAGTATATGCATTACTTATTTAAACTGTAAATTATCATTCATATTTACGTTTATAAACACAAGTGTTGGGAATGACTGAGTTCTGGCTAAAGCCCAATATTGGCCTTATTTCAGTTTAATTGGAAGAGGATCTTGAATTCATCTTCTCCATGAGATATCAGGAACCTGGATTTCTGTTTGTACCAAAGGTTAATAAGAAATGTGTCTGCAAAAGTCAAACAGCATTAAATACCAAAAAACTGATTATTATTCCACAGGAGTTGCTCTGTCATTCATAATCTCTCCATGCTCCAACCTTCCACAGCTAATCTTTAATAGATGACATRCAAGAAGAAAAATAACATCTAAAGTGAGCTTTAAAAAAAAAGAGAAATACTTTTCCTTGGCACTGAAAGTTATTGCCACCCGCCGTTAATTACCAGCAAGATTACTTACTTCCTCTTGCTTTATGGGATGTTAAATCAAACTTTAACTCTAAGCTAACAGACACTTGTATATTTGTTTTCTTTTTTGCTACTCAAACTATTGCATATGCAGTCCGTATTTATTTTTCAAGCTAATTCAGGAAACGTTAAATAACATTCATGTACAACTCCACACCACATTTGAGAATTCAAAAATGTCACAAGTGTTAATTGCCCATGTTCCTGTATGAATACACTGAAAAAAAAAGTACTCATAGTAGTTTTATTGCCGAGAGACTGAAAGCTGTGTAATAGGTACAAGAGTATTATAAACGTTACTTTCTGCCACCCCACATTTCAGATCTTTACCCTGGTCTCTTGGGGAGCATCCGTTTTACACTAACCCAGTTGTCAGCCAGGGGCAACACCCATCCAGTCTGGCAGAGCTGGCATCAAGCTACTTCCTGCCAAAACGATCCTGATGAAAAACTTCCTTCAAAATTATTCTTTGTCCCTGCATATAACAGTGTAAAGGCAACACAAGTACACTAAGMGCTGAGGTTTTGTCATCAGATCTGGAGTATTTGTTACTCTAAGAGTGGTAGTAACTACTAGAAGTTGAGGGCCCCAAGCCTACATGGCTATGTTCTACCATCTATTTCCTCTAAAAACTTCTATGTACTGCTGCATAATTTCTTCTGTAAGGTAAAAATCAAGTTATTCATTATGTTCGCTGTTTTTTTTTTTTTGTCCTTTTAAATGCTTGCTCCTTTGCAGTGCCTCCCATCTTTACTTTTCAGTCTGTCTTTAGAGAATGAGTTCCTTCTCCCTTTCCTCTCATGCAGAAGCACCTCCTCTTTTTGGCATCTGAAATTGCTTCTTTCACAATTCGGCATTTCAATATTTATTTTTCCATCCTCCATGCCATGTTCACAAAAGGTGCTCTTGTTTCTTCTTTTTGTTATCTTAGCTCTAGCTCTTTTATGATTTGCTCTTCCCCTTATTTCCTAAGTGCTTTCTCCTCCCCTTTTTCTTTTCCTCATGATGGGAAGTGAAACTAATGGCACCCTCTGACAACTTTGGCTTACATGAGAGAAAATCTAATAGAAGAACAGGGAAGAAACCACAAGACCTGCAACATGTGGAAACTGTGATCACTGCTAGCAGCCTCCACGGTTAAGAGCCTGTAACCAAAACAGCAAATTCCTTCTTTCTCCTTACTTCAATTACCTGACACAGAGTCAGGGACCCAAAGCGCTGCTAAGATCCATTTTGTAGTCTAGTATAAATGAAATGTGAAGACAGGCTGAAAAGAAGTTTTTCTAATACAGGTATTATTAAATTCCTCTTACATCAGGTCTCTTTCGTTTGCCTTATTCATGAATTATGCCTCATGATTTATTTCAGAAACTTGCATTTTTCCTCCACACTTCCTGAACAAAATAAAAACAATAAGACAACAAGCTTTGCTTATTTGCTCCTGAGGCCTGGGGCAGTTCCAATTATAAAGTGGCCTTTCCTCTTCAGCTTTCCTGTTCTTGCCATATGAGTTGCTTATATTCCCTCAGTTAGAGGGTTATATTTTAAAACAGAATTGTAATATCCCTCAAAGCAGATAACATTTTTATGGTAAACCTGTCTGATTTTTTTACAATATAATTTTGTACAGTCATTTTCTTATCAGAAAGTCAGTACTAAGTAATAATAAAAATGCAAACACCCATATTTACAAGCTTCASTCTGCCATGTGTTATACACTGTAGTAATTAAACATTAACCAGCACATGAAATCATACTGGCATGTTCTCCTTTCCTCAAAGGACTTAATACAAGGAGGACAAATTTCTCCTAAATATAAAAAGTCCTTTTGGTTGCCCATCAGAACTCCCCAACGCTTTTAATGTCAGAGATGAAGAGATATCCACAAATTCAGTATGGTAAACATCATTCTAGATTTCAGAATGTTTAATCAAGCTTTTAAAGATTCTTAGAACTGTGAAAACAGGAAGCAAAACAATCATGAGATATTAACGATAATATTTAAGCTGTTTACAGAAAGTGAGGAGCCTTTTACAGAATCCTTTAAAAGTTGGGAGAAAGGGTACTTCCTGAACTAGCAAATATGKGGAAAAAAGTGTTCTTCTGAAAGGTCAGCCTTGTTACAAGTTCAAATTCTGATTAAATTTGACTTTGTATGGAATAACTACRTTAAACATATCCAAATTCTTGCAAAATTATTTTGAAGAAAATATTATGCTTAGGTTATAACTGGAAAGTTTAATACCACCAGAGAAAATAGTGTACTGACTTGTACTTCAGTCCAATACGTAAAAGGCAAAACACATCGGATTGACACACATTATGTATTTTTTTTTCCATGTTTTAATGAGCAGTGGAACACCTTAATTAACACAATATTTCTGCAATATATACATAGAAGTAAAACACTGTGCAAACATCCAAGAACAAACACACAACTTGGAATTCAACCCAAACAATTTGCATAGAAGTTCAAGCTGCTTGATAATCAAGATGTAATTATGATGTTCAATGCAGCTTTTTTCTTCTAAAAATAATTTATGTAAAATGAAGAATAAAACTATACCCATGTTATACCTATTTGTTTCACAGTATCTAGTTTTTCCTTTCCCCAATGCACAGAATCTAAGAACCCTCTGCTCCAACCATAATACACACAGAATATCAAACTCCTGAGAATACAGAAGCCAACCAGCTGTTTCTTCAGCTAGAGAGCTTGTTTTTTTGCTCCTAATGACAGTTACTTCTCTCTCCTTTCAAGTATCAATATTTTGGGGACAGGTATCAATCCTATGCTTTATAGCAACCCTATCRCAGGAATTGTGTTGTCTAAAAAAATGCATTTTTACCTAGCTTACACTTTACACAGATAAGAACAAACCATAAGTTGGATTTATAAAAGTGCTCTTAATATTTCTGAAACACTTGGAAAAAAATTGATCATATTTTCATCCAATAGAAGCATGATGGGGACAATCACTGGTTAACAGAAACACCAGCTTGCAAAGATTCCTGAAACTGAAGATCACAAACTAATTGTTTCCATTCTTGCATTATCTGAAAAATATATGAGTTTTTATAATATATGAAATATATTTTAATATATGAGACAAATTAAAGCACCAATTTATTTTCAACTATAAAGCCCCTCATTTGGGGAAGCAGTATAAACCGCATTCTCTGGAGACATATTATCAACAGATAAAAATTCATTAACTATTAGAAGAACAAATTTTAAGAAAAGTGCAGGTCTCTAGTTGAGGTGAATGTGCGACTATCTCTGTACACAGGGAGGGGGTAGCACAGCTCAGAACAAGCTAAAACAATAAGTGGTATTTGAACTGCTGGTTGAAAGGTAGAGGCACTGGTAATCATTATTTCCCCTTGTTTGTTCAGGACCTTCCAACAAAACAAACAACCTTTTTGTGATTGGATTGACATGGTGTTAACAATGCATTTAATGCCCAAATCAGTTTGAATACAGGTAAAGCTCTTGCTAATACCAGTACCAGGATGTTAAAGCCACCTATTTTCTAAGCAACTCTAAACAGCCACATAAAAAAAAAAAAAAGAAAAAAAAAAGCCAAAGCTTCCCTCCCTTCGCAAATACAGCTAACGTTCACTAGGCCACGTCATATAGCAACCGTCAACACCGTACGAGCCATGCAGCCATCTGTTAAACGCTCGCCTACTGTACCTGCAATCTTCTCTGCAATCTTGGCTTCTGTAGCTCTGTCTCGCAGTTCTAAGTCTAGTTTTATTGTCTTCAGCTCCTTCTCCTTTTCAGACAGCTCCTCTTGAAGCTGAAGGAGCAAATGGACAATGAGATTCTTATCGGATAGAAGCAGTCAATCAGCACATTAAAACATAGYAAATATTAAATAGCTCAATCTTATAAAGTATAAATAGTAAGCAATAGAAAACAAGTTCAATTAATTATATTTAAAGAAGTAAAATTTTTAAAAACAGCAACTTAGGGTTCTGTTAGACAAGCAGAAATTAAGATATTCTCTTAATATCCTCAGATACCATTAACTGTGGTCATTCTTTCTARGAAAATTCAAAATTACATGGAATGAACAATACATCCTGCTCCTCACTAGTGTCGGCATGAGTTGCATCTTGTTTTCCAAGAACACTGATATTTCAACCTGGGGTGTAAATGAACCATTTCCCATGTGCCTTGTCAGAGAGGAGTAGGAGGAGAAGGAGGAGATTCTTTCAGTTGTTGAGGCCTTGACTCGGAAATTCACTGAATTTGTTCTTAGATGGATATCTGATCTTTTCATTGAATATTCAGTGAAACTTCATAAAGAGTTTTCCTTTGGGTAGGCACATGCAACTTCTACTGATGTTATAATCAGTGCAATTGTTCAAATGGCATAGGACAATTTTCCTCCCCTCAACAAGGAAGATATATACACTATATGGAGCACATGTACAGAAGCAGAGTTTCTATTCATGAAATATTGCCCACTGTCACATTTTTTTTTTATTAGTCTTCAACAGCTGAAAAGGTTGTCATGAACTGCTTGGCCCTCTCAAGTGGAACGTAAATATGAAGTACATTCTTGAAAGTAAGTTTCAARCTACATCAAAGTTTCATCATTAAAATCATTCCGTTGTGTTAGAAACATTATATTGAAAAAGCTGAAGTCCTGTACTCGTTATATAGAAAGGACTGAAGAGATGAGATGAGCTTCAGAAGCTAAATGAATTCAAAAGGCACTCAAAATACAAACAGAGCTTTCTTCTGGCAAAGAGCTGACTTCAGAATCGAGTCCTATCTTGGCATAAGGGCCCCCAAAACTCAGGGAGATGACTCTGCTAAAGACAGAAGGCTAAAGCAGTCATGCAGAAGATGCATGCTGCTTTCAACTGAATGCACGATGGACTAAGACATCCTAAGTTAGCAGAAATAGGCAAAAACAGGTACAATTTTATTTCTCATATCATGCTAACTTAAATATGAAATAAAGTACAAAGATGGAAACAGGTATTAAATCTTGAGATTAAAAAACACATWGTGGTTTAAATGAGAATGTGTTTCTGGGACAGAGGTGACCAACCAGGGATCAGTATGAGGAGGAAATGCCCCCAAWCTGTAACTGAACTGTAACAACAAGCATTTAATAAAAAATAGGAAATAAAGCGTGGTTAAGACACAAATTTGTAAACATCTATACACCTAACCTTTTATACTAAACCATATAACTATAACTTTATATGCTGAATTGTCTCATTGTTTGCCACAGTTCATTATATTTTCAGGACTTGACCTCCAAGGAGTTCATTATTTCTTACAAGCAACATGCAGGCTTTAGAACAGGAACCTTTCCTCTCTCTCAAGCATTTAATGCCATCTCTCAAGATTTCATCTACCTCTAAGCTTAGAGACTGCATCTTTCCAACTATTCTATGAAAACATTAAATTAATGCAAAATTACTCTTTTATGAAAATATATCAACATACAAGTTTTATGAGTTACCATTGTTTTGTGTTGACTTTTATGAATTACCAATTTGCATAGCTTTGTAACATGACTGCGATTCCAGTCATTACTATGAATTAGTATTTTATTGTTAACATATTTATTATGCTACGCAACCATTGCACTGTAGACTTGGATCCAAAAGATTTTTCAAACTAATGAAAACCTTTCCAAAAATTCAGTGGGTATTCCATTTCCAAATCACATCTGGTTTCTTCAGAGATATTAAGAAAAACTCAGTACCTGCTAAGAAAATGTTTTAAAGGTGATTTGACAGCATTTCATTTGTTTTTCATCTATGATGCAGGACGTGATGTCACTAAAAAGGCCAAAGGTTGGGATGAAAGGTTTTGTAAGGCAATAAGAAAAAAAAAAAAAAAAAAGCAAATACTGTGACCTGATTATCTCAGTTTTACCTTTGTATTTTTGGCCCTTAGAGAGTCCAATTCTTTTAAGAGGAATGCAGTTTCTGTCTTTCCACCTATGCCTGCAGCATCTTTCCATGAAGCTATAAAGTTAGGGAGCATCTTTTCACTCTTTCTTCCCACAGAGCTGTTTGGAGGAGGAAGAAAAAAAAAGTTTTTCTGCCCATATGAAAAATACAAGTAATCTAAAAATTATTAAAATCCATTAATTCTGAAATAAKCTATATCTCCAAAATATTAAACAAACATAGTATGACATTAAATTTATATTCACCTGTTTTGTACCTTAGCTATGAAGCCTATAAACAAGAGATACTTACAGGAAGCAAATAAGCTTTGGCTTATCCTAGAGACACAAACTAACAAGACRAGGAAGAAATAAATGCTCAGATGTCTTTGAAGACAGGAAAAAAAATTGATTAAAAAAATAAATTCCTTAGGAAGATGGACTACTATATGTAATGAAATGAGAACTATAGACATTTCTAGACGTTTTTGTTTAGAAGTTACTTTATACAATCCAGACAGTTTTATGGTTGTTTAACTGTTCATTTAGCTTTTTTTTTTTAAAATTAAGTTGGATTTGACTTTTGAAACGGTTACAAAAATTTTGCTATTAATAGGTGCACCAACTCTTGACAACATACAACAATTATGAAGAAATTCCTTCCTGATCAAAAAAATTTAAGAAAATGAAGTGTAAGCTTCAGCAGCAATTTAACCAATGATACAAAAATTCTGTCAAAAAAAGTACACAATCTCACTTAATTTAGGAGCAAAGTAAATAGATTCATAGGTCRGAGGCAGGTAAGAAAAAGTACTTAAGTACTTGTGAAGTATTCACAGAAAAGTTAGATCACCTGAACTTCTATTTCAACTACATGCATTAATCTTCATGCCATCTGCATTTCTAAATCATATGTGGGSAAGGGGGAAAAGGAGAAAGAAAGTTCACTGCTGATGGCAGTGACTTAATTGTTTACATGTAGCTACCACTTTCTTCCATCAGTTCCCTTTTCTCCATGGCACATGGAGATTCTTTAAGAAAGGACTTAAGATGTGGACATTGTGAACAAACTGTGGTGCAACCTAAAGCACGTTAAACGTGGACAGGAGGGAGATTCACATCAAAAAACTTCTTGCTTACTGTATTGAACTATCATACTGTGGCGAAAGGGTGCATAAGTCCTTAGGCTTTGAATGCTCTCCAAAGTGAAGATATTTCATCTTTGCTGTTTAGCAAATGTCAYTTAGAGTGGTTTCAGATTGCAAGCGAGTCTTTGCAGTCTACTGCCAATAAAAGACAAATTTCAAACTCTTTGCTTTCTCATGRTCAGGAGATGCTTGCTATGAACAACTTTGAACCTACCTCATCACCTTATTTTTTTCTTCCTACTAACATCTAACAGAAAGCTTGACAAGTCACACTGATGGTATACTAAGACCATTGCCTAAAATACTAACCAACACTGACCAATTCTGCCTTAGTCTGTCTCCATCAAGAAGTCTTCTCATCTCATATTCTGATCATAAATGATTTTGGAAGGACAGGTTTTGTTTTCTGAGTTTATACAGTACCTATCACAATGAGATCTTAACCTATTTTGGGATCCTACATGCAATATTTATGCAGATGAGAGATGGTTCAACATGCTGACAGCTGTGGGAGTTTAATCTCAGTGTTGAAGACCAGCCTGATGGTCCGAGCAGCACGARTGACAGGAGGAGCAAGAGCCCTTGGCTGACCCAGCACTGGGCTGTACCTAAGCACTTGGGAATATATTTGGCTGTTAGAGTAGGATGCATTGCCCAAACAGCATATCTCAGGCTTTGATGCAGAAAAGCAACAATCCAGATGGAAAGGTCTCATGGACCATTTTCAGCCTAGCAGGTCAGCACTGGATCATACTGAAGATAATAGGAACAGGCATAGAAGCTTTATTAGACAGGTGGAGGAGTAAATTTTTCAAAAACATGTCACAAGACTCCGCATCCTGTTTTTAAAAACAACTCTTACACTCTCAAATGAAATCTGGGCTCCAGAAAAGCAAAAATCATTCTAAACTTACTCTGTTTCCATGGTCAGTTGGCTGTACCTGCATTTTTTTATTCTCTCTCTCCCTCTCCCTCTCTCTCTCTCTCTCTCTGACACAAAATACTTTTTTTCTTTAATGACTGCAACCGAGGACTTCAGCTCAGGAGATAAATTAGTGACAGCATTAGTCATTAATTACCAATAATAACATCTCCAGTAACCATCGTGTTCCTACTAACACACMATATTTATAAAAACAGAGATTTCCTAGTCTACATAAAAAGCTGACATATTCACCCCTCTGCTGTGAGCCAAACTTKCTTATTTTTATCCTCAAACCCCTATCTATATCTTCCATAGAATAGAACAGAACAAAGAAAAAAAACAGAACATTTGTGCTTACCTTGACTCTTCTGGACTGGCATTATAACCACCACACACTTTTGAGGATCCTCCACTTAGACTTGCTACTGGCAAATGTGAAAGATRCAGGGCTTCAGCTTCTGCCTGGGTGAAAAATTCTGCTTGTTTTGAATAATTTTGATGAAATTCAAATGCAGCAAAGTCTTCTCTTTTCTGTTCCAGAACATGTATTTCTAATTGGAAACAGAGATCAACATATTTTTCATTTGGAGAAAGAAATACAAACTTCAGATTTCTTATTCTTAAKACCTCCCCCTATATTCGTATTCACAACAGAAGGGAGAAAGAATTTTTTTTCCCCCACTCACAACAAAGCACAGATCAAATCAAAGGAAAAATTTATCTGTTTAAAATGTTGAGTGTGATACATGTTCTCCCAGGCTTGGCTACTAGATATTTTCAGGACATATTTCTGATGTGGAACGGAAGTTTTGTACGTGTAACATTAATACTCTTTCATAAAGTAATAATGAATAAGTTCTAACCAAAGATCTATATTAAAAAACAAGGTAGAAGAAGCCTAAAAATACTGCAAATAAAAAGAAAAGCTTATGTTCTTCATTCTTTCATTGAGGTTAATAAGCAATCTTAACACTGGAGTTTTTACCCCTTTAATGAAGTTAGCATTTCCAAACATTTGAGATAAATTACATTCTGTACATTCTTTGATCCAACCTACTACTTCCACCTCCAAAATAATACAAGACCAAATTATCTATGCACTTGCAACTGKCTGCAAATACCTGGCAAGATGGAGAAGATGGCACTGCATCCATTTAGAATTGGAAGTCCTCTCTCTAATGACAGATATGTTTAATAGAGCTACAATGCTTTATTTATTCATCACCAACATATTAAATCTGCCTGTATCCTCACTTGTGTGTGCGTGAAGCAGAATCCTTTGAGGAAGATTTTTTGAATACTGCCAGGTACGCATGCTACACAAAATGTGTAGAGATCTTTTGTAATTTCTTTTGACTCACTTTTGTTTCCAAATAGCCTATGACCTAGGGCCTGCCACCCATTCTACGCCCACACCCTGCAAAGTAATTTAGGCCCTTGGTGCATGGTAGTTTCTTACCTTGCTGTTAAAACTGCTGCTTAGTTTAATCAATACACCTGAGTGCATTTCTTCAAGGCTCCTACAAATTGCATTGCACACTAATTACCAATGCTGCAGAAACACACTGGGGAGCAAGTAGCATTTGCAATAATCAGGCTGCATACGGAGCATCAGGAAAAGGGTACAACAGTCTCACAAGCACTGGAAAAAAAAGCTGCAGTTTTCATTATGTGATATTCCCACCATTGATTTCRGTTCTTGAGTACGCAAACCAACTTATTTTCCATATAAAAATAGAACAGGTTCAGTAGCCCCAGATTAATATTTCACCACAGGGAGAAGCTAAACAGCTGATCTTCTGTTTTATGTATTTATCTTGAATGAATAGCTCATTCACATTGAGGAAAGAAAGGCAAATGTTAGGAAGAAGGAATATAAAGACACTAGAATTAAGGCTGGGAATTGATTTTGAGGGAAGTAGGGGGAAGCTAATGCTGCAATGACTTGAAATAGTAAAGACAGAAGAGAATTTAATAGTGTTCACCTGACAGAGGATAAAAAGTCAAGTAAAACCTAAATTTATTTATGCATTAATTATTCCTTTCCTCTGCACTTACATTCACTTTTATCCCATTCAATCTACTCTCTGTTTCTGTGTTCAAAAGCACACAACACATTTTTCTGGCAGCATCTGTTTTCCACATCATATTTGAGGAAGGAATAGGCACCAAGAGCGAGGGAAACAGAGCCCTGAATCCACACTCATAATATGAAAAGTCTCACTGAAAATACAAGTGCAGAGCAGATTTGTGTTCACCTGGAAGGTGCCAGAGGCAGTAGCTTCCCTACGTACCATCCTGGACAGTGAGGAATCCAGGGAGCAGCAGCTGGGCAGATGCTTCCGTTGCTCTGTTTTTAGCTTTGCAGCATCTAGCCCTGTAGTCTTTCAGCACTCTGCCAGCCAAACTGTGCAGATTACCACAGAAGTTTGCAGGGGAGCTCCGAGGAATAACAATAAAGGCAGAAAAATAAACGGAACACCCACGCAGCGCTGCGAAGGACGTGGCTGACTACCAGGTCTGGCTGCAGATGAGCACGAGGGCCTCAGCAGCTCTTGCCAGTGCTCCCTACCCACCTCAGGCAAAAGCCGGGTGGGTAACTGGGATTACTGCTCACTAGCTACAGCTCCTAGCACTGGCTGTAAGGTGCTCTGTAGGAAAGGTGAAGCAAAAGTCTGCCCAAACCTACCTCCAGAGGAGCGGGAAGAAAGGGGCAGAGTAAGACAACAGCAAATTGAGGGAGGAAATGAGCACATCACATRTGCTCTAGGAGCACCAGCAAAGCTGCTTGCAAAGTCAGTATCTTATCCTTCTTAAATCATCACTCTCAAATGTATTTGGGGAAAACAACAACAAAATAAGGCACCACATTTAAGGAACTAATTGTAAATTCAGTTATTGGCTCCCAAACCCAATGACTAACAAGGTCTATAACTACATGAAGTACTATCTAAAATATAAAAACATAAAAATCTTTTTTCTTCTCAGTTTAGAAAGCAACATAGCTTTAGTCTCAGTCTAGTTTTGTCTTGTACAAGACAAAAACTATAAATTCAAACACTGAGGAAATGCTCATTTTTCAAAAGCAAGTAAAGAGTTACTCAGCCTCCAGCCCAAGACAATCCAYTCCCATTGATGTAAACAGACACACTTACAATTTAAAGATATTTCTCCTTGCCCTGTGCTGAAAACCACACACCTACATGAACTTCCTGCAGTAAACATCACAGGTCAAAACATGATCAGAAAATTAAATCTTTTTATTTTTACTATATTAATTGGTCATCTTTATTATTGACCTCCTAGTTTTTTTTTCTGCAGTTTATTAAAATAAAATATCACATTTTTTAAAAAAAATAATTTTTGGGGACTGTGTATGACAAGGCATGCACATCCATAAAAGTTCTAATAAGTTGCTAGGGTAAGGCAGTTGGTGCATTAACAGTGAGCAATCTCTAATCATTTCATGTGAAAAATCATTTATAGAATCATCCTAAGTTCATAACAGCTAATGCCACCAGACCCAAATTCTCTTTTATAGATATAAATAATATATTAGACAAAAATAAATTCTATATTTAAGTCTAATGGAAGACTCGACCCTTATACACCAACTTCTCAAGCTATGCAGAGTGAAATCAGTACCACAGCTGCATGAGCTGAAAATGATTACCCAGCATTTTTGCCAAAGACAAACATCCATTCAATTGTATAAGTACTGGAACTTGTACCAAGCAGAATATCTGTGAAATCTAAGATTGCTCAACARTTCACCCCTTACTGAATGATTAAAAGGCATAACTCCTGAAAAGGACTAGGAAAGCAAAATTAAAAGATCTTATAGGAAAAAATATGCAAAGAAAATGAGGCTAGACTGTGATCCTATTCCTTGGCATAAGCGGATAGAAGAAAGTTGGTTTTGCCTTTACACATTTTTGCTGTGCCTATTATTTCCTTCTTCATGCAGCAAATGAGTTACCTGCCAACTGCAACGAGTGTTTACTGCTTTCAGTTTTTCCAGAAGATCTGCCACGTTTTTCTCACTGTTTTACCCTTTTCCACATCCACAAACAATCCTTCCAAGCCAATCCCAAGAAAAGACCCAATACTGAACACTCAAGAAGAAAGTAATTTCTATTTTTCCCCTGGAACACCAGTTACAACCGCCCCAGTACAAACGTACAACGTCAATAGATACTTTCTTCAACAGAGGCCCAGCTTTACTCATCTTAAGGCTTGCAAGAAATTTCTTTCAAGCTGACAGTTACTTYGGCCCCTTCAAGGTAGCACTGTAGTGTACTCGCACCTAGTAACTAACAACCTTTCTGATGGTTAAAGCAACCTGGGCAAACTAACATGCTTATTCACTTGCTTCAAGCTAGACCTGCCTGAAGCTGTCAGAGGAATTTAATGAAGACTGAGCTCAAGGTGGTCTTGCAGTACAAAGCTAATCCCTCTTATTTCTCAGGGTGCTGCCTAGCCCAAGTCTCACACACGAAGCTCCAGGCCCTTGGCAGTTGCAGTGGGGAGAGCCCCACACGGATGCACTGCAGAGTCAGCACTCCAGCCACAGAGAGCAGCAAGGCTCAACCCAACAGCCCGACTTCACCGGTTCACAATGAGAAACAGATCTCGGGCATTGGGAAAAATGAGGACCTCCAAGCAATTTAGGAAGTCTACCCAGAAAGGTCCCAGGATTTAAGCTGAGGTAGGACATGTCTTATTTCAAGAGGCAAATAACAGAGGTCTTATGAAATAAGCCATGAAAACTTTTCTGCATTATTAGTGGTTCTCTAGATACTTTATAAGGAAAGTATAAGCTCTCTGATTGCCATTTTCAGGTAGGCAAGACTGAGACATGGTAACAAAATAATCAGATCCAGTAAACCACAGCAGAGGTCAAGCTCCTCAAGTGCAGGGCTCCATTCTGTGTCATCTCTCATGGACTTTGCTGCCTCACTTGCAGCTCTCCTTGCTCCTGATCACGGGCCTGYCTGGCATTTTCTCCCCTGTATTTAGGCTGATTAAATTAACTCTGACAACTCCACTTAAAAAGGTCTCCAAGGAAAAAAAGACTATTTAAAGCCATTTTTTAATTCTCATTTTTAAAAATGATAAAATAATGTTTATGTATTCCAAGGATAAACAGGAATTTCGAGTAATTAGATCAGTATCCTTCCAAACTCCATTCTGTTCATAATTCACTCACATGACAGACTCTAGTATTTCCATACTGCATTTACAAACCTCTAATTTCAACAGCATGCAGAAAAGTAAAGCCATTTAAGTTGACTATAGTTCTAACAGAGTAAATCTTTGAACAATAAAAATTGTTGTAGCTGTCCGTGAGCTTAGCAGAGCACCAATTCATCTACTCTGCCTTAAAATAACCACTTCAGCATTTCAAATCAAAAAGAACAATGCCTTCTTACCCAAAATAAATGAGAAAGCTCTCTATGAATGAACTAAAAATGTACGATATATTCCAAAATAATGCCTTAGCTTAGTCTATATCTCAAAGCAAAAAACAGGAGAAAAAAAAGAGAGCAAG